GGGGGGGGGGGGGTGGAAAAATTTCGGGTCGTTTGGCTTGGACGCTTGGTATAGAAAGAAATCAAGAATTAATCGTACCATAAAACTAAAATTTAAACTTTATGTGTTTAACCTTTAAAATTTATAACATTAAGTTTATTATATTTTAAAAATTATGCATTCAAATATACTATTTGTTATAATTTAAATGAACTTTTACGCGTAAATCTATACCTAAAATACTAAATTCAAATAAACCCAATAGTAATATTGTTGCATCCGCCTCTAAATAAAATAGTAGTAGTATCTAAGAGCCCGTTTGGACATAAAATTTGATGGAAGATTTTTTCAAAAAAAATATATTTTTTTCGAAATCAGTGTTTGTTCATAAAATTTTCAATTTTCATTTGAAGATGTATTTTGAAAATTTTTAAAAATTTAAAAAAATGCAAAAAATTATTTTTTAAAATTTTTACTCAAATCACTCACAAAACTTCAAAAACAACTCAAGCTGAAATTCATATCCAAACACAACTCTAAATTTCAAATACCATTTTCACCTAAAAACATTTTCACCATTTTTTAAAATTTTATAATTCTTATGTCCAACCGCATGTTAAATTATACTATATATTCATGCGGGATGAAATGTGAAACAAAAGTACATGCATTAACTACGGCAGTTAAAGACAAATGTGCTCTTTTAGGATAACTAATTAATGTACCTTCAACTTTCTCTATAATAACATTTTTTGTTCCATATTTTTTTATTGTAGTGAATGACCGTTAAACACCTATAAGACATTTAAATATTTTTCGGCTGTTATAAAAAAAAATTATCAAAAAATCCTTTTTTCCCTTTTTTAATATTGCATATAAAAGTAAAAAAATATTCAAATTTAAAATCTCAAAAGATATACATATTTCACTAATTAAATAAAGCTAATATATTTTAATAAAGTCAAAATTAAACATTAAAAAAAAATTAAACTCTAAATCACATATTTTAAAGCTACTAGAAAAATAAATTCTTTCAAGATTGATGGAAGAACTTTGTAATTGTAGCTTGTTTCGTAGATTCTATTATCTTGATAGCGATATAATGTTAAAACTGGCGAAGATTTGTGTCAAACTTTCACAAAAGGGTATCTGATAGCTTTTTCCTTGAACGCAATGTAAGAGCTTGATAGTTGAATCTTCTAACTAAATATTTTTCGGCAATGAAAATGATATCATATGCAGATTTTCAAATCTGATGCATTATGCAAGATAAAAACTTTTTAATGAAAAAGATTATGCGCACATTTAATTTCTAGAATTATTTCGAGTAACCTTAGAGATTTTACATGGTTGTTATAGAGGGGTGATTTTACAAAGAGTATTCTGCTATTAATATGGTTGTTGTTATAGGTAAAAAAAACTATTATAAAGAGGTAAAATATGACTTAAGGAATCTGTTCCGAAGAAAATTTAACTTTTATAGTGAAAGATTGTTATAGAAAGATATTATAAATAGGTCTAACTATTTTCAGTATCACTGCACAACAATAACTTCATCATTAGTCACCGCATAACAATTTCATTATTAATCTTCCGCATAGCAATCCCTTTGTAATCCCGTTATTATTAATCATCACCATAAAAAATTATTGCATTACTAATCTCAATGTAATTCACTTTAAAACCAAACGATCCTCGAGTAGTTTTTTTTTAAAAAGACCTTGGTGGAATAGTCTACTAATATCAATAACCTCGTGCACAGTGATTATGAGTTTAAATTAGGCGTAATACATATAAAAACTTGAAGTTGGCATGAACTAATATCAATAACCCCGTGATTATGATTACAAATGTGTCTCTTAAGACATTTGGATCCACCATATCTCACGCGTATTGTCAATCGCTACAACATGTTATATGAACAAATAAGAGTTTAACACATTTGTTACACGTTGTAACGATCCGATCAATCGTTTTGTGTAATTGCTCCCCGTAAGCCCTTTTTATACTTCACACATGTGTGTTTATGGTTTTATGACTTGTGGGGTTGATTAGTTTTGTTCCGAAAAACTTTTGAGTTGATTTGGACCCTTGATTCTTGACTTAGAAGTTTAAATTAGAAAGTGTTGACCAAACTTTGACTTTTGTCAAAAAAAAACCCCCAGAACTGTATTTGTATGGCTCCGATAGCTTCTTATCGTAATTTTGGACTTGGGCGTATGCCCGAAATTAATTTTAGAAGTCCGTAGGTTGATTTATGTTGATTTGCCAAATTTTGGCAATTTGAAGTTGAAAAGTTTGACCGTAGGTTGACTTTTAGCTATCTAGCTCGGAATTTGATTTTGGGACTTGGAATAGGTATGTTATGGTATTTAGAACTTGTCTGCAAAATTTGGTGTCGTTTGAAGTTGATTTGATAGGATTCGGACGTTTAGTTGTAACTTTAGAAATTCTTGAACTTTACTTTGAAATTCATGCGTTTTAGCATTCGATTCATAGTTTTAGATGTTATGTTTGTGTTTTGATAGCGCGAGCGAGTTTGTATGATGTTTTTAGACTTGTGTGGATGTCTGGTTTGGAGCCTCGGGGGGGGCTCGGATGAGTTTCGGACATGTTTCGGAATGGTTTGAACTGAAATTGGACTGTTGGTGCTGATGGTGCTCAGGTATCGCAATGGCGAGCACTAGCATCACAATTGCGAAGGTGCAGTGGGGGCTCTGATGTTGCAATTGCGAAGCCTGCCAGATTTTGCCTTATCTCAGATTTGCGAACACTTGTTCGCTTTTGCGATGCCCACCAGTTTGTAACTGCGAAGCCTCTATCGCAATTGCGATGAATGCTGAGGCTGTCAAGGTTTGCAAATGAGAGCCCTGGTGTAACGCCCCATAAAAAGTTTCGAAATATTATAAGGTCATTAAGAGATCCGATGTATGTAATTATATTTATTTATATGCTAATGTTAATTAACATTATGAAAGATATCCCATGAACATAATAACAAGTGTATGAGGTGTATTTGAAGTGATATAGGGCCTAAGGAGAGCCCTTGGGACAAGTCAAGTTGGAAATTACATGATAGACTAAAGTTCAAAATGAGTACGAGCAAGACCTAAATTTGAACGAGCATATCTAGAAATATATAAGGAGTTATGCGGTGAAATACCTATCAAATTAAAGATCTTCAAGTCTAGGTTTTAAAGATTCAAATTGTTCATTATTTGGACATTCCTAAAATAAGTTATGATCAAATTACCAAAAGCTGACAGTGAAGTGCTGCCATAACGTCCGGGTCCGCATCCGAGCTTGGAGGATAAGTGAACTGGGGACGCGAAGCGTCTGGGGTAGCGTTCGAAACCCATAAATTTGGGCCTATAAGTACAAAGTCGAGGAAAGAGAGTATTTTGAGCTTTTGAGGTTAGGGTTCTTGAGGTCAAGAGGCGATTTTAAGCTCAAATTAAGTCCAACCAATTAAGGTAAGTTGTTAATGATACTTTGGGTTAATTCTTACTTAATATACATGAGTTCTAATATCATTCTTACATCCAAATACTATATTTCATCATCAAATCTTCAAGAACACAAAAATTATCAAATTTGTGATTTTTTAAGATTGATCTACTAGAGGTAATTCTAATGCTTCAAACTCGTTTAATATGAGTAGTTAGAAGTATTTGAAGCATTTGTTACAAGTTTTAATAGTTGAAATATTGGATTATAAAACTCTAGCTCATGGCATGAATAGTACTTTTGAGAAAATGAGAGAGAAGATGAATAGTAATCTTAGCGATGGAATTAATGAATACAGTGAACCTATGGAATTATTTGTTAGCAAAAGTTGGAAGTGGTCAACTAAGTAATTACTCGAATTGTATATTTTGCAAGTGTTGAGTATGGAAGATGATGAATGGTAACTTGGTGGCATTGAACAATTGATATAGTATCTTTAATGACTTAGAATGGGTATTAAAATATAAGAATGAAGTTGAATGGGCTAGCATGTGAATCTATTCGGCGATTTGAGTTGTTGGAGGCTTGTAGCCAACTTATGAGCCATAAATGGATATTGATCAATATTTTTAGGTCGTATTTTGATGTAATTAGGATATCTAATTGTAGATATCGACTTGTTGGTAATGTTTGGGCATTTTAATCAACATTGTAATGATGGAAGATGATTAAAAGCTTGTGAATATTAATAAAGCGAAAGCGAGGTAGGTTGATTAAAACTTACTCTTCTTGAGGGATTTTCTCTAAAATCATGTTTCGAGTTAATGCCTAAGTTGTTTGCAAATGTGCTTTCGTGCTTGTGGGGACAAACAAGTACGAATGTCTCCATGTACTAAAATATTATGTTGCATATGTAGTGTCATGTTGTTTTATAAAATTTTATTTTAAATCTTGTTGGCAAAATGACACTTAAGGTAAATGTTATAAGTTTTTATCAAAATTTACATATTGATAAAAGTATACATATCTGAGTGCTAAAGATAAGTTTTCATGGAAAGTATTTCTATTAAATTGATAAATAGAATAGCACTTGTTGTATCTTTTTAAAGTGCGATGACCCGATAAGTCATCTTATGTTTTAGAATCTAATTCGGTGCTTTGAAACCTTAAATACCTCATTCTAGCCTTCCTCGATTTGTGTACGCAGTCCTGATGTTTTTCCGAAAAGTTTTTATGTTAAAAACTGAGAAAATATAAACAATTTGCCTTAAAATTTATTTGAGTTGACTTCGGTCAACATTTTCAGCAAACTAACACAGATTCATATTTTAACGGTCTCGGTGGGTCCGTATCGTGATTTGGGATTTGGGC